CTCTGCCCCTCCCCTGCTCATATTCTGTCTCTCTCTCTCTCTCTCAAAAATAAAAAATAAAATAAGAATTGTGATCTAAAGAAAAAACTCAGAAGCTTAAAAAATAGCTCAGTTTCTTGATAGACAACAATAGCTAATATATACTTTGATTACATTATAGTTGCTATAATCAGAATTAGTGTTTTATCAATTTTAGGGAATTCTTAGCCATCATACTTCTAATGGAGCCCATAACCCCTTCTGTTATCTTCTGGATTTTTCAAATATATATGTATGAATATAAACACACTAAACACATATGTAATATTTTTTTTCTATATTTCTTCTCTACATTTTAAGCTTTTTTCTATTTCCCTCTCTTTAGCTTCCCACTATTAAGGTAATTACTTTGACAATATTTTCTACACTACAAATGCTCTCCCCACCTGTGTCTAATTTACTGTTTAGTGGGTTGAGGTTTTTTCTTTTACTTCAATACCTGTACTTTTCTTTTCTGGAACTTCTTTTTGGTTCAGATCTCCCTCATCATATTTATACTCTCTAGTCATCACAATTGGTTATTTTGTTGCATTAAACATTTTAAAACATCAGGATTTTCAAAATTTCTTGTAATTTCAATTTCTGCAGCCCTTTGAGGGCTAATTCAAAGTTTGTTACTCCTTCTAACTCTCACTCATAAGGACTTAAAATTCTATTTGCATGATCTTAATCTGTGAGAATCCTGTGAGGTCTGCATAGAAGGAAAACTTCTCCAAAGATAATTTGTATTTTCTTCATCCAGAATCCCAAGGTTCCCAATCCAGGAATGCTTTAAGACAGTTTCTTGAACTTCATGGGCAAAATAAATCCAAATTTCCAGGCTGCATGATAGCAGGACTATGGTTTCAAATTCTCATTACAGAACTGTGTGAAACTGAGGTGGAGAAAGACTAGTTACTGGATTGCTTCCTGTGGCTAAGTAGTAGATGCTTCTGTCCACCCTTGGCTAGAGATGTAGTCTTCTAAATTGTGGCTTGGTTTTAGAAGTTTCTGCTCCATCTTCCAATATTGCATGAGATCTAGGACATTCTTCCCATCCTGCACAGACTGTTGAAATTTAAAGCTCTAACTGGGACTTCCACGCATCGTTGTAGCATTGCAAAATAGTATGGCCACTTTGGAAAATGCAATGGCATTTTCTTATCAAGTTAAACATACGCTTCATAAACAGTCTAGCAATCCCAGTGATACATACCCGGAAGAAAACTTGTGTTCATACAAACACCTATGTGCAAGCATTTTTAGTGGCTTTATACGTAAATGGCCAAAACTCATAACTTGAATGTCTAGTAATTGAGGAATGGATAAACAAACTGTAGTACACCCATACTACAGAATTAGAGTACCATAAAAAGAATCATTGATGCATATAACATGGGTGAACCTCAACATACATACATATATATATGATTTCATTTATAGAATATTCTGGGAAAGGCAAAACCATAGGGCCAGACAATAGATCAGTGGTTACTAGCCATTCAGGATTAGAAGAGATGAATCAAAAGTGTTACAAGGGAATTTGGGGAGGTTATGGTATTGTCCTTTATCTTGACTATGATGGTGGGTATGTGACTCTATCAATTTTCTAAAACTCAAAACTGCACATTGGAAGGAATGACTTATGCTTTATGTAAATTATACCTTCAATTTTAAAGGAAAAGAAAATCCCAGGACCAAATGGGTTCATGGGTGAATTCTACCAAACACTTAAGTATAATTTAACACCAATCCTTCTCGAACTCTTCCAAATTTGAGTCTTTCCCAAATTCACCAACTAATTTAAGAGGACCAGCATTATCCTATACCAAAATCAGGGAAGAATACTATAAGAAAACTACAGGCCAATAACCCTGATGAATATAGACATAAAAATATATTAACAAGCTGAATTCATGACACATTAAAGAATCATACATCATGATCAAGTAGATTTATCCCTAGAATGCAAAAACTGGTTCAACATATGCTAATCAATAAATGTGACTCACCCTAATAGAATGAGATTTAAAAAACCATATCATCTCATAGATGCAGAAAAAGAATTGACAAAATACAACCTCCCTTCATAATAAAAAGACTCAGAAAATTGAGCATAGAATATTCCACCAAAAAACTTTTAGCACTAATCAATGAGGTCAGTAAAGCTGCAGGTTACAAAATCAACATACAAAAATCAGTTGCATTTCCATACACTAACAATGAAATATCTGAAAAATAAAAGAATCTTATTCACAACAGCATCAACAACAGTGTAATACTTAGGAAATTAACCAGAAGGTGAAAAATCTGTACACTGAAAACTATAAGACTTTGATTAAAAAAAAGAAAAAAAAAATTGAAGTAGACACAAATGTAAAGATATCCATATTCATGAATTGGAAGAATATTGTTTAAATATCCATACTACCAAAACCCTTTTACAGACTCAGTGCAATCCCTATCAAAATCTGACTGGCACTTTCAAACAAAAAAGAAAAAAATTGTTTCAAACCACAAAAGACCTAAGAGCCAAAGCAATCAATCCTAAGAAAGAAGAACAAAGCTAAATGCATCACATTTCCTGATTTCAAACTACATTAGACCCTTTATCAATGCAGAGGTTAGTAACTTCTGACTCCCCCAATACTTAACTACTAATAGCCTACTGTTGGCTATAGTCCTACCAATAACATAAACAACACATATTTTGTAAGCTTTATGTATTATATACTGTGTTCCTACAATAAAGCTAAAGAAAAATGGTAAAATCCTGAGAGAAAATAGACTTACAGTACTGTACTGCATTTATTGAAAAACATCCCTGTGTAAGTAGGCACGTGTAGTTCAAACCCCTTCTGTTCAAGAGTCAAATGTAGACTACAAAGGTCTAGTAATCAAAGAAGTATGATACTGGCAAAAAAAAAAAAAAAGAAAGAAAAGAAAAAACCATAGACCAAAGGAACAGGATCAAGAGCTCAACAATAAACTGCTGCACATATAATCAACTACTTCTTGACAAATAAGGAAAGAATGGTCTCTTCAACAAATGGTTTTGGGAAAACTGGATAACCGCATTGAGAACAAATTGGATTCCTGTATTACCACTCACAAAAAAATTAAAACAGATTAAAGACTTAAACGCAAGATCTGAAACCATAAAACTCCTAGAAGAAAACAGGGGAAAAGCTCCTTGGCATTGGTCTTGGCAATTATTTTTTGGATAGGACACCAAAAGCATAAGCTATGAAAGCAAAAATTAATAAGTGGATCTACAAACAAAAAGCTTCTACACAGCAAAGGAAACAATCAACAAAATTAAAAGGCATCCTATGGGATGGGAGTAAACATTTGCAAATCAGCAATCTGATAAGAAGTTAATAACCAAAACATATTTAAAAACTCATATGACACAACAGCAAATAAACAAATAAAAGCTGATTATAAAAGGGCAGAGGAACTCAATGGTCATCTTTCCAAAGATGTGCAAATGGTCAATACGTACATGAGGTGCTCAACAACACTAATCATCTGGGAATGCACATCAAAACCCCAATGAAATATCACTTCACACATATTAAAATGGCTATCATCAGAAAGACAAAAAATAACAAGTGTGAGTAAAAAGGAACCCTTGTACACCGTGGAAATATAAACTAGTATAGCTATGGAAATTCCTCAAAAAGTTAAAAATAAAACAACCATACCATCCAGCAATCCCACATCTGGGTGTATTATTGAGTATATAGCCAAAAGAAATCAAAGCACTTCCTCAAAGAGGTATTTTCACCCCTATATTCATTGCCACAATACTCACAACAGATAAAACATAAAAAAATTTAAGTATATGTCAACAGATGAATGGCTAAAAAAGTTGTGGTACATATACAATAGAATATATTCAGCCACGAGGGAAAAAAAATCCTGCCATTGTCAACATTTCCGAATTGACTCGGAGGGCATTATGCAAAATGAAGTAAGACAGAGACAAACAAATACTGCATGATACCACTTATACGTACAATCCAAAAAACGTAAATTCAGAGACAGTGGAATGCTGGTTGCCACGGGCTGGGGGAAATGGGGAGATGCTAGTCTAAGTATACAAACTTCCAGATATAACACACATAATCAAAGTCTGGGGATCTAATGTACAACATGGTCATTCTAGTGCCTAATCCTGTATTATGTAATTGAATTTTGCTGAGAGTAGGTCTTAAATGATCTCATGACAAGAAATGATAATTATGTAAGATGAGGGAGGTGTTGGTTAATACTGCTGATAATCATTTTGCAACATACAAGTCTATCAAATCTAAAAGTTTTACATCTTAAAGTTACAAAGTGTTATAGGTCAAGTATATCTCACTCAAATGGGAATAACAGAAAAGACATTTTCAAATTCTTGGTACTGGCAGACATCCCTCCCTCTGGTTTTCACTTTTCTCCACATATTTGGCCTCTAAGAATTTCCTTTCTTATAAGTGCAATGATGGGTCTTCAAAGATTTTTGTTCCATTTTATCCAACATTTATAGGCATTCTGAAGCAGAATTTTTTAAAATATCTATTCTACCGCAATGCCAGAAGCAAAAGTCTGCCACTCTATTGAAGAACAAGACTTTCTTAAAATTTCATGAAGTTTTTAACTTCTTCATTTTATCAATGTATCCTGTTTCTATAAAGTATAATAACACAGTTATTGTATTACTCTCTTTATAGATAAGAAAAGTAGAAGCTCAGTGTCCATGCACCCCAAGATTCTGAGAATGGAAGCCAATTTGAAGATTATCCTGTCTCCCAGAATTAGGTCAGTCAGAAACATGTGGAGGATGATTTACACTATGCATCATCCTATGCAATCTTGAACAAATCACTCAACTCTGCCTAGTTTCAAAGCACCTACTTCATAGAATTGTTCTGACAATTATTCGTGTCAAGCACACAGAAAACTACATGGCAGAAGTAGAAAGAAGTGCTTACTTTGAATAAGCCATGCTTTTGATTGCGTTGACCAAGCCATACATTGCTTCCTGGGGGAAGGTTGGTTTCAGGAGGGTCTATCACACGTTCATAAATCCTGTAGAGGCAAAAAACACAGTTACTAGTGAAGAGGCTCAAAGCAGAACCAAAGGGTATGTATGTTGTTTGAAGCCCTCATGGCATTAGCTGCTGGTATGGAGAGATAGAAGCAGTATGTGGCACATTTCAGATTATGGGTAACATGAATGTAGGGATCTACTTCCTGACAACACTTGGACACGTTAACTGGACCTCTGTTGGCTTTCTATTGTCACCCTTTGGGCAGGGAAAGGAGGAAGAAAACATTTTTAACTGTCTACTTTGAGTAATAAACCTTACACATGCTCTGTGAGTAAAGTGGTCTGATCCACATTTGCAGGTGAGAAAGCTGAGGTTCAGAGAACATAAATGGGTCAACCAAGTTAAGACAGGGAGTAGTAAAGTTGGGATGAGGATCTCCCTCTTCCTGGCTGTAAAGCCCAGGTACACCCCTTTGCACTCTACTCCTCCCTGACTTTGGTTTATCTAGCTGCTCCTCACTTCTACATTCCTCTTAACAGAAGAGTAGTAGTTGCCCACATGACAATATCCTTAGTGCACAAAATCATACAACCAATATTGATTTATTGAGCACTTTTTTTTTAATGTTTATTTTTGAGAGAGTGTGTGCGTAAGTGGAGGAGGGGCAGAGAAAAGCCCAAAGTCGGCTCCACACTGACAGCAGTGAGCCCGATGTGGGGCTAGAACTCACAAACCACAAGATCATGGCCTGAGCTGAAGTCAGACACTCAACCGACTGAGCCACCCAGGCACCTCTTTTGAGTACTTTTTTTGATACAAGCTCCACACAAGGCAACGAGAGATAAAATAAGCCAGACCTACAAAATCCTGCCCTCAAGGAGCAAGAAAAGAAAGTTCTGTACATGAAAACAAAACCTTCCTAAGATATATGAAGACAAATAACTTGGAGGAAGCAACAGCCCCAGGATCTTTGAAGGTACCCACAGAACCTAGTGAACAATGGCATGGTCTCAATTGTTCTGCCCTACTCACAAATCCTGAGATTTCTGCTCTCTTTAGAAATAGTCTCTGCAACCACCAGCTGATCACAGGCCTCCACCTCACCTCTACCAAGTGCCTCTCAACACTGTCTCTGCTGAGAAGGGGAAGGAAGAGTTTGCCTAAGAATTCGACTTATCCTTAGATGCTCAGAAGGTTCTGGATGGGGTGCCATAGAGACCGTAGACGAATTTCAATTCCTCCTGATGGTCTATCCTTCCTTGCCCTCTTCAGTACATGCTCAGAGCAGTTGCGCGAGGAGCCAGCTCCAGGTACTTCCAGAGTAAGGAAGTTCTGACAACTCATCAGGTCTCCGTGCTGGAAGGGAGCTGACTGTCCTCTGCCAAAGAGTGGCACATTCCTCCACTGGTTCTCAAAAGGCAAGAACTGAGAGACCATCCAGTTGAGTCAAGGCCAATGAATGAGTGTGACAGTTGGGAGTCGGGAGCAGTCACACTGCAGCCTTGGAACTTCGCTGTACTGTCCATCACTCTCTTATTCTCCACTAGAAATGTGCTATTTCCTAATAATACATGGAAGGTATTCAATGGAGAAAACTCTAAATATATCAGCTCCATCTCAACTAATTATCTTTCCATTATAAATGGATGCTCAAACATAAGCAAGGAACAATTCTCCCTTAAAAAGGCAGGGTGTGTTTTCTCCACAGGAATGCAACCTTTTTCACATGTTAGAATGAACAATTTTAGATGAAACAACCTGTCAAAACTGCTTTAACCGAAGAAGCTGTTATATATCCTCCTTAAAAAAGGATTTTTTTTCTAATATTCACAAAAAACTAGGAGCAAGCCAAATTTACAACAAAAGAGAAATGCGTAAATTACAGCAGATCAGCCTGATGTAATTTACTATGGTCATTAAGAGTGACAAATATGCAGGTTGTGAAATATGGGAAAGTATATACAAAATAATTTCCAGTGGAGGAAAGTGGCATGCAAAATTATTTACGAACTATGGAGAGAACAATGCAAAAATTATGTTCCCTGTTGGTGAAGTTCAGAAGAAACCAGAAAGAAATGGAAATCTCTGTATTTAGGTAAAGAGTCAGAAGCATAATTTTCTGTAAGGGTGCTTCACTAACACAATGAAAAACACTGTCAAACTATTTATCTGAACCTTTCATTGTGAAACATTTGCATCTGTTGGAGGAAGAGCTTTCAGTTTAATGCTTTCTTTTTGATTTTCGATACGCCAAAAGGTGAGCTCCAATGAGCAGACGAGGCCCGTAATCACTGGTTTATTAAGTGCATGAAGGAAGGAAGGATCAAAAAATCAACTTCCATCATGCCTTATCTTCGCAAGCATAATCACTCCTTCTTCCCTAGAAATACTGGGCCTCAGACGCTTGCTTTCTCAACCATCAGCCCAAAGCAAGGCAGGGACCCTGATGCCTGTATCAAAGGTGTGTGCTGATTTCCAGTGTCACATAGCCCCCATCAGGATCCTCTCCTGATGCCAAGGAAAGTCTGCTGGCTGCTTTCCCACCAGCCTGGACAATTCACTCCAAATGGCAGACCTCACTGGCGAATTCCATGTAGCAGACAGAAACAACGAACTGGATTCAGACATAGCAAAATGAAGAGAGCTTACAGTGTTAAAAAAATAAAAATAGGGGCGCCTGGGTGGCACAGTCGGTTAAGCGTCCGACTTCAGCCAGGTCACGATCTCGCGGTCCGTGAGTTCGAGCCCCGCGTCAGGCTCTGGGCTGATGGCTCAGAGCCTGGAGCCTGTTTCCGGTTCTGTGTCTCCCTCTCTCTCTGCCCCTCCCCTATTCATGCTCTGTCTCTCTCTGTCCCAAAAATAAATGTTGAAAAAAAAATTTTTAAAAAAAAAAAAAAAATAAAAATAAAAATAAAAATAAAAATACATACCCACACAGGGGACCCTTATGTGGAAAAGCAGACAAACCCAATTTAAGGGACATTCTGTAAAATAACTGCCTGTCCTCTTTCAAATGCCCATGTCATGGAAAGTAAAGACTGAGGAACATTTGCCAATTAAAAGAGACCAATGGGACATAAAAAATAAATATGAGACAGAATCCTGGCATGGAGCTGAGAGCAGAAAAAAATAAATCCTATGCCCAAGATTAGTAGGAACTTGGTGATACTGGAACTGTAGATTATATAACAGTATTGTATTGATGTTCAATTTCCTGATTTTGAGGCTTGATCATGTATCTTTAAGTGTCTTGTTCTTCACTAATATCCACTGAAGTATTTAAGGGTAGAGTCATGATCTTTGCAACTTCCTCTCAAAGGATTCAAAAGAATGATGTGCTTAAGTACAGACATATGTAAACACATTATGTAGAGAGAGAAAAAACAATCTGGGCAAAGAGTGTATGATTTTTTTGTGCCATTCTTAATAGTTTCTTTTAATATTAAAATTATTTTAAAATATGGGGCGCCTGAGTGGCTCAGTTGGTTAAGCGTCCGACTTCAGCTCAGGCCATGATCTCATGGTTCGTGAGTTCGAGCACCACATTGGGCTCTGGGCTGACAGCTCAGAGCCTGGAGCCCGCTTCAGATTCTGTGTCTCCTTCTGTCTGTCTCTCCGCTGCTTGCACTCTGTCTCTCGCATTGTCTCAAAAATAAACAAACATTTAAAAAAATTTTTTAAGTTATTTTAAAATAGTTTCGAGACTACGGCAAAAAAGCCAAAGGGTCTGTAATGTATACAGACTAAAAATACACACATTTAAAACAATTTTATAGCTATTAGCCAAAGACACATACAAATTTAAAGCCCCACATAAGGTATGTGGTAGTGTTTTCCTAAAGGAAAGGCAAAGGGAGGAAAAAGTGAACGAGTGAAAGATGAATGACTGAATGAAGCAAAAGTATTGTGCAGACTACTGCTTTGATAACACATCATAAACTAAGAAATAAAATGATCACATCCTTATCTATTCCTCTTTTACAAAAGGAATTATGCCACCAACATGCCAAATACAATCAGAATCTTCACAGAAGGGCTGACCCCAGGGGTAGGGTTTAGGTGGGCTGGCTCATGCAGATAGGGCACAGTGATCTGTGATCTGTCACTTAAATCTAGGATCACCCAATTAAAATGAAAAGTCAAAGCTAATAGAGTGAACTCCTTGGTTTCCAATGTTGTCAGGAAATGCAAACTTGATATTCTAGTATTTTGTTTAATGAGGTTTCCTTCACATCATATCGGATTGTCTATCATCTGTGTGACACCGTGTTGGCTACGGGAACCCACACGGCAAAATTAATGTGGCCAAGTCCTTGTCCTCGGGTCAAATGCCTGAGCCAGGAAGACAGCATGCGTGCACACACCTTATTCAGTGAAGTGCAATGATCTATGAAAGCAGAAAGAAAAACAGATTGCTGTCTGCCATAGTCAGAAAACACTTTCAAAGGCGGAAACACGGGAGCTCAGGTTTGAACGGAAAACAAAGTGGAGCTAACACACAGACAGAAAAAGCCAGCACTTCTACAGGCACTTAATGTGTACCCAACTTCTTTTCCCCTACAAATTCACTCAAAGAACATTCATTTCTGTTTAACCTTTTTAAAGTTGTACAGCCAAGTAACAGCTTATTTAGATACTAAAATGTAGATTAAAAACAATTTTTGGACCAAGTGTATTTTCTACGATATCCTAAAATTTCAGTATTTTCATTTAGTTTTAAAATATTCTCTAGCTTCTTTTAAATGCTTTCAAGCCATAAATCAAACTTTTCTATATTACTCTAAATTCTAAGCAAACATCCTACAAGCTTTTACATTCTTCCAAAATAGGTAATTCTCTGACATTTACACAAGTTTGACTTCTGTTGAAAGTTCATCATAAATTCATGTAAGACTGGAAAAAGATTCAGCAAAGAGAGGTAGATAATTTGCCACGTTATTACAGTGTGTGTGGATACACAACCACTAAACCAATACCAACAAAAAATACACTTCCTTTTTTAGGAGTAAAATATGACAGGCTACTATTCCTAACACT